TTATCTACCACCACAAAAAAATTTGGAATTTTTTGAATTTTTTTAGTATTTTTTTTGAATTTTTTGCTGAGAGGGAGCAGATGAGCCCGGGCACCGTTTTGAGTTTTCGAGGAAGAAAACATTAAATACATTCAGATTACTACAGTACCTTAATAAAAATACAGAACTAACGCACAAACAACACAACTACAGAACCAAGTCTAGGAACTAACCACGTTCCTCCTAGAAGCAGATGATAGTTTCCCCTTTAAGCATTTTACTTTCTCAAATGACAAAAAACACAAAAGTTACCTAACAGAAAAAGCCAAAATAACAAAAGAAAGAAAGAACATAAAAGACAAAATAGAACATACTTGATTGAGATAGAACTTCAAAAGAGCCTTGTCGAACCCTCCTTTGTCTCGAGATAGATCCTGCAAACAAAAAAAATAAAATAGATCAAACAAAATTAAATCAAAACTAAAAATAAAAAAAATAAAAAAATAAAGAAGAGAAACATAAATAAGTAACTACCAGAGACATAGGATAAGAACCATCTTCTGCAAAATCATTAGGCAAAAAAGCTTCACCAACTGAATATGCACTCTCTAATGATGATACTAATGGAACATCCTGATGACACACTTTTCATAGCCTACCCATTTTAAACCTGTAAACGGAAACCACACTGGAATTTAATAATTTTGGTGAAACCACAATTACACTAGAACTACAATCAAATTACACTGTAAAAATCCAATAAAATTACATTGGAATTAAATGGATAAATTACACTGAAAAATACACTGTAAATACAATCAAATAACACTGCAAAAATCTCACTCAAATCACACAGTGAGACTAGGGCAAATTACTCTGCAACTTACACCGGAAATACATTGTAATTACACTGGAATTGCACCGGTAAATAGGTGAAATTACACTGGAATTACACTTTAGTTACACTGAAACACTTGGGTAAAATTACACTGCAATTACACTGTAGTTACACTGGAAATAGCACTGGAAAAATGGGTAAAAATTACACTGGAATTACACTGTAGTTACACTGGAAATAGCACTAGAAATACATTGTAATTACAATTGAAATTGCAATGGAACTAATGGGTAAAAATTACACTGGAATTACACAGTAAAAGAGACATAAAGTTACAATGACATTCTGGGAAAATTACACTATAATTATAATAAAAAATCACCCCTAGAAGCACATATACAACACTGGAAGTCTATGACAACACTGAAAATGACTGACCAAACAATTAACAACATTGAAAAGGGGCATCAGGAGCCAAATTTCATTGGAATACATAAAGAGTTAGAGCAGGAACATTAACAACTAGCATAACGACATGAGCAGGAAGCATTAGGGAGCATCACAGCATGAATAGGAAAAGATCTCAACATCTACTAGTAAACCTACGGCATCCCGCTCATCTACCAGTACACCTATGACATCCGCACCAACATGAACACGAATCCCGCTCACGTACAGGAACATGCCGAAAAAGGGTTTTCCCCCTCTTTGTATTCCAAAGCAACCAACACCGATACATGATCGCTGGGGCGAACAGCACAACAAGCCCAAAAGAAAAAGAAAAGGAAGCAAATGCCAACAACGGCAGCTCGACAGAGCACGGATGACCCGCCACCGCTACGCACACCAAAGACAAACCACTACAAACCGAGGCTCCGGACCACCGCATACAAAACAGCACCTCCAAGAAGGAAAGCGACGCCGACGACGCTGCTGCCCGGACATGTCCTAGGGTTTCCCCGGCACGCGGAGGGAGGTGGGGGATGGATATCACCGACACCCTCCAGGAAGGAATGGTGGCACCCGCAGGTGTCACCGCATCGGGGCCGAAGACCGCTAGGGATTTCTCCCGTACTCCAATCCCCGCCGCCCAACGGACCGGAGCCGACCAGCCAGACCGCCGCCCACCACCATGCGTCATCGCGGTTGCGCCGTCACCCACGCCGCCTCACTGCGGACGCCAACACGAGGCCAAGAGGACGGGAGAGAAGCGCCCCGCGGAGGGAGAAGCAGCACCGAAACCGAACGGGAGGGAACCACCTCCACCGCCGTCGTGCGGGAGGCCAGAGCCTCCGGCACCGTCGCGGTAGCCGTCCGGACGCAGCAGCAGGGCATGCCAGGCCACCCCTGGCCCGGCCAGGCCCGAAACGGGCCCGCTAAGCCCCGCCGCCACGCTGCAGCAAGCCGGCGATGGCGCCGCCAACACCCTGCCGCTCATCACCTCTCCCCCGCCTCTCGGAAGCCACGAAGCAGACCCACACCGCCGCCAGCCCGCCCAGGCCCAGATCTGGGCCGAGCGGGCGCCGCCAGATCGCGCCACCGCGTCGCCCCGTCGCCAACGGCGACGTCGCCGTCCAGAAGCCCGCCCCCGCTCGCGCCAGGAGCCCCCGCCGCCCCGCTGGACCGCCACCGCCGAGAAGCACCGCCCAGGGTCGCCCCGTCCCGCGCCGGCGAACACCCGAGAGGGGAAAAGCCAGGGGGCCGCCGCCACCAGCGTCGCCCGGGCCAGGCCCGCAGCGGGCGCCGGGGACGGCGGCAGAGAGGAAGAGGGAGGGAGAGGCGCGCGGGGGGAAGGCTGGGCGCGGCCGGCCGCCCGCGGGGGCGGCTCGGTCGCGAGAGGTGTCTAAATGGGAGAATCAGAGAATGAGCTTTTCCGTACAGGAACATGAGCAGCTACAGGTACAAGAGCACCTGCAGATCGGCCTCTCACTACAGAAACATGAGCACCTACACGAACATCTACAGAAATCCACACGCTGCATCTAAACAGACAAAAAGGGGAACACAACAACCACAAGCCGCCCTCTCACCTACAGAAAATCCGCACGCTCCAACTACACAGACAAAAGGGAAACCACAACAATTAAAAACCCTACCAATCACACCAACCAGCGGTTGCACCAGATGTGCGAGAGGTCGGCATGAATTGACCTAGACCTGGAACGAACAAGAGCAGAGCAGCACAAGCGCGCGGCATAGAGAGAGAGAGAGGAACAACCTGTTGGAGCCAACTCTCTCAGCTCACGTTTTCTCTCTTGGTTGCTTCTCACAACACACACATACACAAGATGATGGAGACACGGGAAACTTGGTGACGTGCTGTTTCACACAGCCAGACGTCTTTTCTTCTCTCTATATTTCTCCACACAAAGCAAACATGATGGTACTACATCTTAAATAAGAGCACACGCACACAAAAGGCCAGCCGCCACAATCGGCCACTAGCACCACTAACCAACTAACTAGCCCACGTCCTAAACAAGTGCGGCCACTCCACTAATGCAAACCTCCACTCTATGTTGACCGAATCACTCGGCTAACACAGAAGAAACCCAAGGTCTAGCTTGCATGCACAGCGCCGTGCTTCACACACGGGAACGTCCGCGTCACACGGCGACGTCCGCAACTACTCTCAGTACATGCCAGCCGAACCACCTAATATGCATTGGCCCTACACAGACGCTAACTCATGCTGAAAAGAAATAAACATGCAGATACAAGAAAACATCAAGATTACATCTAACACAACCAACCGCGACAACCGGGGAGCGAAGAGGAAGGGAAGAGAAATCAAGCTCCGGCGGGGGAAGGTCGCCAAATCGCCATGGACGGGGAGAAATCGCCTCCTGCTCCGCCGCTCGAGCTCCGCCTCTGCCTTATCGAAACAGAGAGGACAAAATGAAAGAGGAGGCACACAACCCGAAATTCAAACCAGACAAAACTCAGACCGGCCGGGCGCGGCGGTAACGGGCACGGAAAAAACCACACAAGACAGAAAAAACCGGACCCGACAACAAGAACCAGCGCGAATCTCCGCGCAAGAACGGACGGACAACAACTTAGATATAAACGAATTGAAAAACAGTCAGCTGTAAAATAGCAAAAGCGTTTTTTTTTAGCACCGTAGTATTTTGTTTTTGGAGAAAAATGTGTTGGCAAAGGCCCACTCATGAGTAAGCCCACAATCCAGCACACTGCCCGCGTCCTGCGAGATAATGCTCGAGCTCGAAGCCGCCGCACGCCGCCGCTGAATGCCTGAATCCCAATCCCCCCTTCTGAGCTCCGACTGCTCCCGGCTCCACTCCGGAGCTGCCGCGCCCACCTTGCCAGCAAGCTCCCGCACCTCCAGCTACTGGCGCCGATGCGGCATCTCCCTGACCCCCTCCCCGCACCCCCTGCACCTTCTGCTCCAGCGCGGCAGCGCCTGCAACCTCTTCCACGCCGGCGTTGGTGGAGCTGATACACGAGGCACGGCGGCGTAGGCGAGAGGACTGGGAGAGAGTGTGTGGACTTCGTTCGGAGAGGTGGTCGCTTGGCGCTGCTCCTGCTCGACAGCTCGAGCAAGGTACTGAACATTCTAATTCTTGGCTTGATGTGCTCTATTCATCTGTAATCTGTAGAATTGATGCTTATTTCTGTTGAATGAAACAAATCGATGCGTATTTCTGTCGTAATTGCAGAATTGAACATGAAGAGGAACGGGACAGTCCCTTCTCCTGAAACATACTCCCTCCGATCCTAAATACAAGTCTTTTTAGCGATTCCACTATGGAGTACATATGTAGCAAAATGAGTGAATCTACACTCTAATATATGTCTATATACATCCGTATGTAGTTTGTAGTGTAATCTCTAAAAAGACTTATATTTAGAAACGGAGGGAGTACATGAGATAAAGCAAACATGATTTCATCTTCTTCATTAGTGTTTCTTCCCTGGCAGTAACTTAGGGGGGGGGGGCGAATCGTATATCTAAACATTGCAGCTTAGCTGGAAGAATCATGAACCCAATGTCTCATTTTGGAATATTGCAGAGTTTATATGCCAATAGCATGTAGGATCCGTTACAAACTTGCAATGAAAACATTCTTTTTCAAGATGGCAGTTCTCGACCAGAACCAGCTGAAAGGGGGTCCCGAAAATATATGACATTTGAATGCAACTGTGACCAAGCAACTTTCACTCACTGTGATGTGCAAGTTTCTTGGTCAGGAGTCAGGACTTCGTGGATTGCCTCAATCTTCTGCACAACATCAGACATCGTAGGCCTCGAGTCAGCATAGTGACTACAACAGTTTATGGCGAGCTGCAGAAGTTGCACCATGCTCTCCTCTTCCCCGGCCTTCTGCTCCCGTCCTAGGGGCTGGAGCTCCACGTCAAAGACCTCCATCGTCCACTCCTTGCGTACAACAGACCATGCCCATTGTGCCAAATCTAATCCCTCCTCATTTTGTGTGCTCTTTGCTGGATCCTTGCGAGTGAGAAGCTCCAGCAGTAGGATGCCAAAGCTGTACATGTCGGCTTTCTGGGAGACTGACCTATTGCCGGAGATCTCAGGCGCGCTGTAGCCGGAGGCATTGGAATACACGCCAAGTGGCATCAGGCCGTGCTCCGACACACATGCATTGTGGGTGCCGGTGAGCAGGATATTGGAAGACTTGATGTTGCCATGGCAGCTCGATGGTCCAGCTAAGTGGATAGCCGCCACACCACGTGCAGCAGCGAGTGAGATGGCCAACCGCTGCTCCCAGTCCAGCGGAGTCGTGCCGGGGATTCGATAACCTAGTAGGTTCACACATCATGAGTTAGCGATGCATCAAACACTTTGGAAATTGTAAAGGCAAACATATGATAGCATTGTAAAGTATATACATTACCATGGAGTACTTTTGCTAGGCTACCCATGGGGATCATATCATACACTAGCATCTTCTCATCCGTGTTGTAGTAATACCGCCGCAGTGGCACAATGTGCTTGTTCCGGATGGCACGAATCATCCTCATATGCTGCTCAAAGTACACCTTCGGCAAGTCCACATCCCTCAGCCTCTTGAATACCGTCTCATAACCACCATCAAGCGTCGTTTTGTATGTTGTCCCAACTGTACCCTCGCCCAGAACTTCAGCCGATCGTCGAAGCAGATCATCCAGCTCGAACGATTGGCCTCTCGGTGTCTTCTTTTTTTTTGCGGGGTGGCCTCTCGGTGTCAACCTATCAATATAAGTTACCACGTTTCGGGTACTGCTGCTGCTTTCAATTGGTGGTGTTTCAGCTGGCGCTAATTTATTTCTCTTTCCCCAAGAAAACAGAGCAAGTTTTCCTTGTACCTGACGAGGAGCTTTTCTAAGTTTGTGAAGACGCTCTGCAACTTCTAACATCTCAGGACGTTTGTCAAGCTCCATCTTCAAGCATTTACCTGCCAACTTAGCAATCCCTTCAATAGTCTTCATATCACTTGATGTTGTGATTTCAGGATCAAACATCTCCCTCGCCCTCCTAACCCCTTTTGAAAGAGACTGAAGAAAACTTTCAACCAAGCCAATCTCTCCACCCTCTGTTTTTGCTTCCTTTCTAGTGATCAGTTCCAGGAGTACAATTCCAAAACTATAAACATCACTCTTTGCTGTGAGGCGACCATTCTGAGCAAACAGAGGGTCCATGTAGCCGATACTTCCTATATTATTTACAGTATAGAGAGTATTTTCAGTGTTGACTAGTCTTGATATTCCAAAGTCTGATATTTTTGCTCTGAGTCCATCATCCAGAAGTATATTAGCAGGCTTGATATCACCGTGAATGACCTGAGTATACATTTGTGAATGCATATAGGCCAATGCTTCTGCACATTCAATGGCAATTCTTAGCCGTGTATCCAAAGTGATGGGAATGCTATCCTTGTGAAGGATGGTACTTAGATCTCCTTTGGAAATATACTCCGTGACCACCATAAAGGCATTTTCATCTACACAGTAGCCGACTAATCTGACAACATTCTTGTGTAGCCGACTAATCTGACAACATTCTTGTGATTGATCTCACGGTGGACGGTCAACTCTTTGGCAAAATTTTCTTTTGCATTGTAGATAAACTTCTTGACTGCAACCATACTTTTGTCCTCAAGGACTCCTTCATAAACTTCTCCAAAGCCACCTCTACCAAGTATAGTTTTATAGTTGTTGGTAAATCTTCTTATCTCATCTTCTGTAAAACATTTCACATTGTGATTGCTATGTGCAATCCATTTCAATCTATGCTCTTCCGGGATGAGTTGTGTTACTATATTTTCTGCCATCTTTGAAAGTAGCAGGGAACTTGTTCAATGTTGGAAGACAGTTTGACCTAGAAAACACTTCTGCCAGTGTTCATCAAATTTAACCCATCATATAAATGAGGAAACAAATAAATAAAGTACGTAAGAGTGCTTAATTTCATTGGATTAATCATCAATTAATTAGTAGGGATTTCAGATGCCCATTGGGCAACATATATGGATGTTGTTTATAGAGGCCCTAGCTTCTGAAGATGACCAATCTAGATATCTATTTTACTGTTTCAGATGTTTGCACAACACTGCAGAGAATCATTTGTGTTTGTTCATGGCCTGCATCGCTAGAGGAAGTACAACGTAGGTGTGCAAAACTGAATTAATATTTATTGTTCAGTTTTGCTGTGAATTTTGAATAACAGCTTCATATCTGGGCAATTCACTAACTCTACATAATTGCTTCCTTGCAGAGAAAATGAAGCAATTTTTTGGATTGAGCATGAAGAAAAAGGTTGGGATCGACTAAACAAAGTGAAGAGTTTAAATCCAAATTGATAATATGTCGGGAAAAAAACAAGACAGAGATGGGTGTGGTAGAACCAAACATACCACTTTAGAGTTGATGCCGTAATATGACACAATCAGCTGAGCCTTCTTTTGTTAGTGGTCGCACAGATTGCCATGGGATGGAACTATAAGAAAGAACAGATAGCCGTCGTTGATGGTCAACTTTCGGAACATGAATGAGGTGGCCCTATCCGTGCTGGTTGGTGTTACTTAACAACTGCTACCGAGTTGAATAAAGATGATCATGCCAAACGTTGTACTTATTTTGTAAGAGCGTCCCTGATCCAATGATTGCAAACGTACAAAAACATAACATTAGATACTACCAACATGCCTATATGTCTCTATCTCCTCGTGTGAAATATAAGACCTGGTCTATCTCCTCGTGTGAAATATAAGACCTGGTCGTCTGCAGGGGCAGGGTTTTCCCTAATGTTTTTCTTTTTCGCTCGTGATCCCTATGAACGCGCACACGCACACCCTATCTCTATGAGCACTTCCGAAAGACTGAGCCGGTATATCATCTTCAAATTTACGAAGTCACCGTAAACAAGGCAAAAGACTTGCCAATTTCAAAAAGATGTAAGATGTGAGGCAGCAAAAAGAAAGAGGTTAGCTCTCGAGACATAACAATACTAAGCTGCTAGGCTCCCGCCAAAGTTCAAAGATGGGCCTCCACTTTGATTTTTGTGATAACAATGGGGGTCGGGGCGGGGACATTTTGGAAAATTCCTATGTTGCGCTCCTTTCTAAATTTCTCATGAGACAAGTCTCATTAAGGAGGTGATAGCCTTCCTGCGGTCACCTCCACCATTAACTGCCTTAATCCACCAATCTCTAACTGAGTCTTCATGACGCCAAATCATTGGCGAGGAGTCAAGGATGCTAAGCCAAGTGCAAATTTTGGTCCAAATCCGGGCAGGGAACCTACATTGGAATAGGAGGTGAGCAACACATCTTGTAATTGCTTGCAGAGACAGCACAAATTGCAGTTTAGCCAACCTCGGCGCAATAAACGATCTGCTGACCAAACACGATTTTGAAAGATCAAAGTGTGACTTGTAACTGAACATGTACAATGTACTTACTATATAAACAAACCAATATAATGAGTATGATCACGGCAAATAACGTCTTCTGACTTGGTTCTCCGTTGAGGGTCACATCTGATTTGCTTCATCGACCGGCTCCATCGAGAAACTCTACCTATGCATCTTTCGGTCCGACGGTGTTGCCATGCTTGTCGGCCAATGGGGCTACTCCAGCGGTTCCGCCTCACGACAGGTAGTGCTGACATTGTTCGTCTCCGCCTTTCCTTGATGTCACTATCATGGAAGCGCTTGCTGCCTGGTGGTGTTTTTTTCTGTCTTCACCGTCGTTTAGTCACGGACGGATGGACATGACGATGGAGGTGTTTAAACACCCATCAAAAGTCAATGCGCAGTGCTATTTCTTTTTCCTTTTTTTCGGAAAACCTACTAAGTTTTATTCATCAAGTGGAATAGATATAGGTATTACATTGGATCATGTGGATGACCCGTCCAAAGATGGTGTCCCTGGTTCAAATAAAGCGCATGCTTAGCTAGGTTACGAGACTCATAGTTCGAGCTCCTGGACTCGTAAGTAAAAATACTCCCTCCGGTCCTTTTTACTCTGCACATAAGATTTGTCTGAAGTCAAACTTCGCAACGTTTAACCAACTTTACAGAAAAAAATAAGAACATTCGCAATACGAAATCAATATCATTAGGTACATGAAATTTTAATTTTCATATTATATAACTTTAATGGTGTAGATGTTGATATATTTTTCATATAAATATGGTCAAATTTTAAAAGTTTGCAGACAATTCTTATATATATGTGAAGTAAAAAGGATCGGATGGAGTACAAGAAGTAAAGATGTTTCTCCAAGAGCTAATCCTTTTTATCACACTAACATAGTCTCCTCCCGATGCTTCTCTTGTGTGTTTCACCACCGTCTCACAGTCGGACGCAATAGCGACGTTTTGAAGCCCCAAGTCCTCGGCTAAAGACAATGCCTAGCGACACGCAATCGCCTCAAACTTGGCAGATCCACCATACCTTTGATGACAAAAACAGAAGATCCCAGGTAGAAACCTGGTCTCTACACACTACTGTTGTGTCTACTCCATGAGATATTGTTGCATCAACATTGACCTTGGCATGCCCCGCTGGTGGCTGAATCCATCTCTTTATCCGCGATGTTTAGCCTACCGATCTCATTTGGTTTCCACTCGCTGAATGAACGTAACCAAGTTCGGATATAAAGTGAGTAATGAACATATGTGTTGACAGTTGGCTTTGGTAATCCCTTCATGTATCAGTTTCCGTCTTGCGGAGTGTCATTTCTACAACTTGATCACTGGGGATTCCAATGCGACACTCTCTACATCGAATCGGCGCAGCTTCGCACAGAGTGCCCCCAACTGGGCCGCCCCATCTATCGAGCATGCCTATTGTTGTGAGATGGTACCGTAGTAATCCGATCCCATAGATATTTATGCTTCCATTCCATTTTATTGAAAAAACACGAGATCCATGTTACAAGAAGGGAATGATTTTTTAGGACATTTTTTATTTTTGGATTTTTTAAACTTTTTTTCGAAATCCAAACAATTTGGAATTTTTTATTTTGAACATTTTTTGGCATCCAAACATTTTTTATTTTTATAAAACTATAATATATTTTTTGAAAAATGAGCAATTTTGAAAACATGAACATTATTTATAATTGTCAACTTTCTATGGAAAGCCGAACATTTTTATGAAACGCTTACATAAGCATGAATTTTCTGGAATTCCAAACATTTTTTAAAATCTGAAGTTTCTATTAAAACATGATTTTTTTTACAAGCCCAAAAAGGCAAATATTTTTAGAAAACCTGAATTTTTTTGAGATTTTTTCTAACTCTGAACAAACTAAATAAACCAGTAATCCAAAAAATATATAATTAGAAAAATATCATAACCATCTGGGATCATAAGTGCCTGCACTAACTAAAATGGGCCGGCCAATCGAGCGGCTTGTTTCGTTTCCTCTATGCGAATCTCCAGTATTTTGACGCTTAATGGGTATAGGAAGCATCGGATCATTGTTAAGTTTGGTTGTTTTTTCAGGGTGATTGAATACGGGAACTCCTATGTGACGCATTCTGCGTCAACTAGTTGCGGCTTCGCACAGGGGCAGCTGACTGGCGGGCTTTGTGGGCTGCTTGGCGTGCGCGAACTGTTTCAAACATTTCGTTGTTTCTGCTTCGCGAAGCTGTTCCACTGGTTGATGTCCCTGCAGTTTTACACTGTTTCTTCTGTTTCTTCTCTTTCTGCTGGCGCTTTGGACCACTTCTCCTCAGCCAATACAATTGCACGAGCACTGTAAGGTGTCGTAGAGATGTCTTTCAACTGCACAAAAAAATTGCAATTGAAAAGGATTATAAATGACAAGATTTGCTCCTTCTAGATTGCTTGTAGAAGCAAAAAAAAATTTGCTAACTTGAAAACTGAACAACAACAAATTTATACTAGAAGCTTACTGGTAAGAAACCCAATGCAAAACTCTTCTTGGAAGCTCTGTTCAGATCCACTGTAGCTAGATAGTCAAAGTCTTCATTCTGAACATGTGCAATTCTAGGGACTCCATAATTGATGTTTCGTTGTTTAGAAGCTTTTGTGAAGTCTACAAAGTCCAGATACACAATCTAGGAAGGTTGTGAATCATAAGAGAAGATATAAGAGGTAATCAGTGACTATAAAAAAAGATTGCATAACTAAAGTCTATGTAAAAAATTGAAAATGACAGAGAAAAGAAAACTTACAGCAGCCAAGGGTAAACATCCACCAACATAGATTGAATCATTCAATGGAACTTCAGTTCTATTGAAGAGTTTAGTGCTGAAGTTATCAATTTCATTGTTCAGGTGATCAATGCACAACTGAGCCAAATCAAATGTCTTCAGCTTGGTAATGTCATCCAGCCCATAAAGAAGTTTCCAGTTTGCATAGTTCCGAGTGGTTGGACATAAAACAGATGCTATGAACAAAAACATGAAGCTCCGTATGAAGCCTTCCTCAGTCTCATCATTTTTCATCTTGGTGATTATGTTATCAAATGAAATGTTCTTCTCCCCAGCACCAAGATACTCAGACCTAAGTTCCAATACTCTAGCCACGATGACTTGATCTGTGCTGTCCATAGGAAAAGGCACGGAACCAGAACGAATACCAAAAACTTGAATTACCATTTCCCTTCTTAG